GCCACTGCCTCCAGCCTGGGCGACAGAGTGAGACTCCAACTCAAAAAAAAAAAAAAAAGCAGTTTTATTCCAAAAGCCAGCGGGGGAAACCACCAGGCTCTGCCTCGGAGAAACAGTTTCCTTTTTTTAGGCTGAGTGCAAAGGTTTAAGAAGGGAAGCCGAAGCCGGGCTTGGTGGCTCAGCCTGTAATCCTACACCTTTAGGAGACTGAGGTGAGTGGATTGCCTGAGCCCGTGGGTTCGAGACCCACCTGGGCAACGAGACCTCATCTCTACAACAAATAAAAAAATCAGCCAGGCGTGGTAGCGCATGCCTGTAATTCCGGCTACTTGGAAGGCTGAGGCGGAAGGATCACCGGAGCCCAGCAGGTCGAGGCTGCGGTGGCCGGGAGCGTGCCACTGCACTCCGGTCTGGGTGACTGAGTGAGACTCCAACTCAAAAAAAAAAAAAAAAAGTTCACTTTTTAGCCAGGCGTGATGGCACACACCTGTAGTCCCAGCTTCACCCAGGAGGTCAAGACTACAGTGAGCTGCGATCGTGCCACTGCACTCTATCCTGGGTGACAAAGGGCGACTCTCACTTTTAAAAAAAACAGTTTGGCCAAGCACGGTGGCTCACACCTATAATCCCAGCACTTTGGGAGGCCGAGATGAGAGGATTGCCTGAGCCCATGGGCTCGAGACTAGCCTGGGCAACTTGGCAAGGCCTTATCTCTACAATAAATCCAAAAAATTAGTCTGGGGTGGTGGTGCATGCCTGTAGTTCCAGCTATTTGGAAGGCTGAGGCAGAAGGATTGCTTGAGTCCAGCAGGCCAAGGCTGCAGTGGCTGTGAACATGACGCTGCTCTCTGGCCTAAAAAGAAAAGTTCATTTATTGTGGAGCTCACCTGCAGTCCCAGCAACTTGGAAGACCGAAGCAGGAGGACTACCGGAGCCCAGGAGTTCGAGGCTGCAGTGAGCAACGACTGCACATGTCACTGCTCTCCAGCCTGGGGGACAGAGTAAGACCGTGTCTCTAAAAAGTAAATAAATGAACAGTATCCACTTCTGCAGCCACAAAAAAGAATGAAATCACGTCCTTTGCAGCAACATGGGTGGCGCTGGAGAGCATCATCCTAAGTGAACGGACTCAGAAACAGAAAAACAAACGCCGTGTGCTCTCACTCCCATGAGGGAGCTAAATGGTCCCAAAGACGGAAATAACAGACACTGGGGACACCAATAAGGGGGGAGGGGAGAGGAGGGTCAGGGTTCGGAAACTACCTAGGGGGCACAGTGTTCAGTCTCTGTGGAATGGGCCACTGAGACCCAATCTCTACCACAATATGTCTGTGGAGCAAACATGCATATACTCCCAAATCTACAAAAAAGAAAAGAAAGAAATCCATAAGCAGTGGTGCTAATTTTAAAAAAGCGTATCCACTTCCTCAGGTTGTTGTGAGGTTAAATGAAATCATCAGTGAGGCAGGGGCTTGCTAGACATGATGAAGTGCCCAGAGGAAGCATACACCAAATGCCCTGTGTTACTGTCACTCGCTCCTGTGATTCCCCCAGGCTCTTGTCCCTTGTGTGCATTTGGGTTCGTCTGCCATCCCTAAGCCACCCAGGTCATTGTACCCCTGGCTCTTCCCTGTCTACGCTGCCAGGAGCACCTTCTGGATAGAGCATGCATCCTGCACACTGGTCCTGAACCTCACTGAGGCTCCTGCAGCCACCCCCAAAGTGCGCAGACCCCGCTGGCGCCCACTGGGGCTTCTTCCCCGGGACTCAGAGCCACCTTAGTCCTATGGGAGGACTTTCCTGGAGAAAGCGTTCTCTCCACACAGAGGCTTGCTTCCTCACGGACTTCCTAGGGAGCCATCTGCTTCTGTTCAGACTCGGCTCCGCCCACACACCCCAGAACTGTCTGGCCACCCACTCCCCATGCCATCATCTGCTTTGGCAAGAGGCCCCATGCCGAAGCCCTCAAGGGCCGGGGGCTGTAGCTTTCACTTTTTTTTTTTTTTTTGAGTCAGAGTCTCACTCTGTCCCCCAGGCTGGAGTGCAGTGGCTCGCTCATGGCCACCACAACCTCAACCTGCTGGTGTCAGGTGATCTTTCCACCTCAACCTTCCAAGTAGGTGGAGCCACAGGCACGCACCACCACACTGGCTAATTTTTTTATTTATTGTAGACGCGAGGTCTCGCCAAGTTGTCCAGGCTGGTCTCTAACTCCTGGGCTCGGGCATTCCTCTCACCTCCACCCCTCAAAGTACTGGGATTATGGGCTGGGGTGGAGCTGGTGAGTGGCAAACCACGGCCACCATGCACATTTGTGAACACAGTTTAGCTGGAACTTGGCCACACCCATCGCTCACGTGCTGTCTGCAGCTGCCTCAGCACCTTGTGAGAGACTCAACCAGTAATGGCAGCAGAGACCTTAGGACCAGCAAAGCCTAAAATAGAAACTCTGGGGCTCTTTGCAGAAAACGCTCGCCAACACCTAAGACAGAGGAACTCTTAGGGCTTGCAAAGTTAGACGCCAGGAAACAGGGAAGAACTGAGTGCGACGGACTTGGTACAAGAAAGAGTTTATCAAGGATGAGCATGGTGACTCATGGCTGTGATCCCAGCTCATCCCAGCTGAGGCAGGAGGATCCCTTGAGCCCAGGAGTCCGAGGTTACAGTGAGTTAGGATCGTGCCACTACACTCCAGTCTGGGAGACAGAGCGAGACCTGTCTCAAAAAAAAAAAAAGAAAAGAAACAGCTTATCAGAAAGACAATAGGGAGGGGTGAGGATCATGGCAATCTGGAGAGCACATGGCTCATCTTGACTCAGCGCTGCAATCTCTAGGATAGACTGGGGCGGGTATGGTGGCTCACTCCTGGAAGGCTGAGGCAGAAAGAGCACCTGAGCCCAGCAGGTTGAGGCTGTGATGGCCATGAGCATGCCACTGCATTCCAGCCTAGGTGACAGAGTGAGACTTCGACTCAAAAGAAAAAAAAAAGACACACTGGGAATCTAGATGCTTCTGTGAACAAGGAAAGAGGCAGCAGAGGGTGATCACATAAGTCCCAGCTCAGCTACTTCCTCACTGTGGGACCTTGAACAATTCACTTGACTGCTCTCTTATCTATAAACTTCGGGTGGTAAGGACACTTCCTTCCTAGGGCTGATGATTCTTAAGCTAACATCCTCAGGCTCCCAGAACAATGCCCTGTGCAACATCAGCACTAGTAAACATTTGCTAAATCAATCTTTTGATGTTTTCAACACAGGCAGTTTATTTATTTTTATTGGAATCAGGGTCTCACTCTGTCACCCAGGCTGGAGTACAGTGGCACAGTCACTGCTCACCAAAGCTTTCTCCTCCCTCAGGTGATCCTTCTGCCTCAGCCTCCCAAGTAGCTGGGACTATAGGTGCACCACACCAGGCCAATTTTTTTTATTTTTTGCAGAGATGAAATCTTGCTAAGTTGCCAGGGCTGGTCTCAAATTCCTGGGCTCAAGCGATCCTCCCCTCCTCAGCCTCCCAAAGTACTGGGATTACAGGCGTGAGTACCACACCTGGCCAGCACTGGCAATTTAGAACACGACGGTGCCAAGGATGAACAGTACAAGAAGAGCACACGGATGTCCCCATGAGGCCAGCGGTCATCTGCTTCCCTGGCAGAGTGTTTGAGCGCATGAACTTGGAGGTTGAAGCCCAATTCTGCTGCTCATCAGCCGCCCTGGGGGCCTCGGTTCCCATCTCTAAGTGGTCACTATATTACTGGCCCAGGGTCACTGGGAGGATGACAGTGACCTGCGACAGAGGAATCCCCACTGGAGTCATGGGGGGGGACAGAGCTCAGATTCTTCAGTTAACTGTCACCTCCCCCTCCCCCTCGCCACTCACACCAGGGACAGGCAGCTGCTGGAGGCTCCACAGGGACCCACTGCCACCAGGTGCCACAGGAGGCCACCTCTCTCTCTGTCCCTGAAGGTCCCACCGACCCTGCCTGGTCTCTCGGAGGCCATCTTCTCTGCCTCACTCTGTCCCCTTCATACCTGTGGCATGTCCCTCGCTGTCCATCTCGATCAGCTCTACTCTGGGTCCCCCAGGGGAAAGCAAGGCATCCCCTCCTTAGCCCCCACCCCATTCCCTGCTAGAACTTGAGCCACGGCCCCCCATCCTCCCTGCAGCCCCCTCTGGGACTTGGGTCCAGTGCAAATCCTCCCCTGAGCTGTGCCAGGGGAAGGACCTAAGTGGAGACCTCCAACCCGAGCATCTCCTGCCTGGGCTGTGGGTGGGGACAGGACAGACCACTGGTGCTGAGCATCACAGAGTGGGGGAGTCAGTCTGCCCCGAGAGGCTGCTCCGCACAGAACCCTTCACCAGCTCCTTGGACCAGGGCACTCGGGGCTATGCCAGGGCATGGAGCGTGGGGGTGGCGGCTGGGCTGCAGTCGGGGTTTGGACAGGAGGACTCAGGGTGGGCCCCTCTGACCCAGTGACTCGGCCCCTGGTCATGTCCCTCTCCCTGTGACAGGCCTCGGCCCCATGGACCCCCTGAAGCGGTCCCCTCCCCCCTGCCCTTCCCCAAGGCCCTCCAGTCCCAGGACCCAACCCTGTGAGATGCTGGGCCACGTGGGCATCGAGACTGTGCTGGACCAGCTGAAGATCAAGGCCATGAAGACGGGGTTCGAGTTCAACATCATGGTGGTAGGTGAGTGAGAGGTGGGCCCACAGGGGACAGACTCATGGGTTCGACCCTGCAGTTCTGGGCATGTGGCCTCACCTCTCTCAGACTCAGTCTCCCCATCTGTTAAGTGGGCCCAATGGCAGCACCACACAGAGGTGTAGTAACTGAACATCTGGGAGACACTGAATCATCAAAGGACAAAAGTCAGCCAGGCACAGTGGCTCACACCTGGAATCCCAGCACTTTGGGAGGAAGGCCAAAGCAGGAGGATTGTTTAAGCTCAGTTCAAGACCAGCCTGGGCCATATAGTGAGACATTAATTCCACAAAAAATTTAAAAATTAGCCAGGCATGGTGGCACACACCTGTAGTCCCAACCTTTCGGGAGTCTGAGGTAGAAGGATCGCCTGAGCCCAGGTCGAGGCTGTGGTGAGCCATGATTGTGCCACTGCACTCCAACCTGGGTGACAAAGTGAAACTCCGACTAAAAAAAAGACAAACATCCTCCAAGCAAGGTGGCTCATGCCTGTAATCCCAGCACTTTGGGAGGCTGAGGCAGAAGAATTGCTTGAGGCCAGGAGTTAGAGGCTGCAGTAAGCTATGACTGCACTCCAACCTGGGCATCAGAGCAAGCCTCTGTCTCTGAAATAAGAAAGAAAGAAAAAGTCTTGGAACTAGACAGAGGTGGTGGCGGTTGCAAATGTACTCAATGCCACTTTATTGTGCTCTTTAAAGTAGTTAATGGTTAATTTTTCCTTATAGAAAATACCTCAATACAAAAAGGAAAGAGAAGCATTGAGTGCACACTTACAGCGTCACACACTGTCTATATATATATGTCATGCTTAGAAAATAGTTTACTTTCTTTTTTTTTTTGAGTTGGAGTCTCACTCTGTTGCCCAGGCTGGTGTGTAGTAGCACACTCACAGCCACCACAGCCTCGACCTGCTGGACTCAAGTAGCTGGAACCAAGTTGCTTAGGCTGGTCTCGAACTCGTGGACTCAGGCAATCCTTTCACCTCAGCCTTCCAAAGTGCTGGGATTATAGACGTGAGCCACCATGCCCGACCAGAAAACAGTTTACTTTCTAAAAAGTGTATTTGTAGCCGGGCTCGGTGGCTCAGCCTGTAATCCCGCACTTTGGGAGGCTGAGGTGAATGGTTTGCCTGAGCCTGCAGGTTTGAGACCCGCCTGGGCAACTTGGCGAGTCTCATCTCTACAATGAATCAAAAATTAACCGGGCGTGGTAGCGCGCGCCTGTAGTTCCAGCTACTTGGAAGGCTGAGGCGGAAGGATCACCGGAGCCCAGCAGGTCGAGGCTGTGGTGGCCGGGAGCGGCCGCTGCACTCCAGTCTGGGCGACAGAGTGAGACTCCAACTCAAAAAAAAAGGTGTATTTGTTTAAGAGTTTGAGAAACACTCCCGTGACGGCTGTCATCTGGTTGTCACTCCAGGGCAGACCGGGCTGGGCAAGTCCACGATGGTGAACACACTGTTCAGGTCCAAGGTGTGGAAGTCAACCCATCCAGGCACGGGGGTGTCCATGCCCCAGACGCTGCAGTTACACTCAGAGACTCATGGTAAGCATCCCTTCCTCTCTCCCAGATCCATCCTCCCCATCCAGCCTCCTCATCCAGCCTCTCCCCATTCTGCTCTCCCTCCACAGTCATTGAGGAGAAGGGCGTGAAGCTGAAGCTGACAGTGACCGACACGCCCGGCTTTGGGGACCAGATCAACAACGATAAGTGGTGGGTCCTTGGGGATGGGAGCCAAGTCCCTGTTGCCCCCTCCTGGTCCTGCCCCTGTCTCTCTGACCTCTAGAGCAGCCTGGCTGTGTGATCTTTGAGCCTCAGTTTTCTCATCTGCCTAATGGATATGTCAATTCACCCTAGGAGACTATAGGGCATTGAGTGTGTAAGAGGCTTAGCTTGCTGCCTGGCACATAGCAAGTGCTCAGTAAAGGTTGTGGGACAACAGGGGGTTAGACACCCACACTCCAGAGTCAGGAGCCCTGGTTAGGTCACTTTCTAGCAGCATAACCAGAGATGGTCACAGATGCTCTGAGCCTCGGATTCCTTCATCGTCACTTGGGGACAAGGACACTCACTTGCAGCATTGTTCTAGGTTCTCAGTGAGAGAGACTGGGGCCAGGTGTGATGGCTTGTGAGTCTATAATCCCAACACTTTGGGAGACTGATGCCAGAGGATCACTTGAGGCCAGGAGTTCAAGACCAGCCTGGGCAACAGAGTGAAGCCCCATCACTACAAAAAAGAAAAAAGAAAAAATTAACCAGGTGTGATGACACATGTCTGTAATCCCAGCTTCTTGGGAGACTGAGATGGGGGGGATCACTTGAGGCCTGAAGTCTGAGGCTGCAGTGAGGTACAATCACACCACTGTACTCCAGCCTGGACAACAGAGCAAGACTGTCTCTCTTTTGTTTTTTTTTTTGAGTTGGAGTCTCTCTCTGCTGCCCAGACTGGAATGCAGTGGCCACTCCCGGCCACCGCAGCGTCGACCTGCTGGGCTCCGGCGAACCTTCCGCCTCAGTCTTCCAAGTAGCTGCAACCACAGGCGTGCGCTACCACGCCCGGCTAATTTTTTGATTTATTGTAGAGAGCAGGTCTCGCCAAGTTGCCCAGGCGGGTCTCGAACCCGTGGGCTCAGGCAATCCACTCACCTCGGCCTCCCAAGGCGCGGGATTACAAGCTGAGCCACGGAGCCCGGCTGAGACTTTGTCTCTTGAAGCAATAAATAAATAAACGAGAGCAGTTGGTAAAAAGCATGCACAGTCAGGACCAGCTGCATAATTCATGGGACAGAGTGCGATGACAGGGTAGGCCCCTTGTTCAAAAATTGTTAAGAATTGAAAGACTGTAGGCTGGGCTCAGTGGCTCAGCCTGTAATCCCGCACTTTGGGTGGCTGAGGTGAGTGGATTGCCTGAGCCCACGGGTTCGAGACCCGCCTGGGCAACTTGGCGAGACCTCATCTCTACAATCAATCAAAAAATCAGCCAGGCGTGGTAGTGCATGCCTGTAATTCCGGCTACTTGGAAGGCTGAGGCGGAAGGATCGCCGGAGCCCAGCAGGTCGAGGCTGCAGTGGCTGGGAACGGCCACAGCACTCCAGTCTGGGCAACAGAGTGAGACTCCAACTCAAAAAAAAAAAAGACTGTAAGCACAGAGCAGTGACCCTCAAGCAAAGCCTCTGCCCACTCTTCCACGAAGCCGGCCCTGCACATACCTGCACACTTGCTCAGTCCTCACAGTCCATCCTCCGGGTCCTTGGCATCTGCATCTGTGAATTTGATCATGGTCTACATGCCCAGAAGCAATCAACCACAGTCAAAAATTTTAGGAAAGGTCAAGCTCAGGCTCCCAGCACTTTGGGAGGCCAAGGCAAGTGGATTGCCTGAGTATGAGGGTTCAAGACCAGTCTGGGCAACTTGGCGAGATCTCATCTCTACAATAAATCAAAAATTAGCTGGGTGTGGTACTGCACACTTGTAGTTCCGGCTACTTGGAAGACTGAGGCGGGAAGATCGCTGAGTCCAGCAGGTTGACGCTGGGGTGACCATGAATGTGCCACTGCACTCCAGCCTGGATGATGGAGTGAGACTCCAACTAAAAAAAAAAAAAGAAAGAAAATTAGGAAAACAAAACAAGAAAAAATAACAATATAGCAATAAATAATACATGTTAAAAATGCATTTTAACAGATATTGACATAGCATTTACACTGCAGTAGGTATTATAAGTAATGTAGCATCAAGACAATTTGAGGAATTCTAGAGGATGCTTGTAAATTAAAGGCAAATACTGTACAATTTTATTTTATTTTTTGAGTTAGGGTCTCACCTTGTTGCCCAGGCTGGATGGAGTACAGTGTGACGATCACTGCAGCCTGGACCTCCTAGCCTCAGGTGATCCTTCCACTTCAGCCTCCCAAGGAGCTGGGACTACAGGTGCATGCCATCATGTCCAGCAAATTTTTAAAAAATTTTTGTAGAGATGAGGTCTCATTGTGTTGCCCAGGCTGGTCTCGGACTCCTGGACTCCAGCAATCCTCCCGCCTCAGTCTCCCAACGTGCTGGAAATACAGGCATGAGCCACTATGCCAGGTCTGCACCATTTTACATAAGGACCTTGATTTTGGTGTCTGAGGGGTCCTGAACCCCATCCCTGCAGATACTTAGAGATGACTGCCCCATGTGCCAAGCTCTGCTCTAGACTTGGGGGACTTGGGAGATATAGCAATGAACAAAACAGACACACATTCTTGTCTGCATGGGGCAGATAATGACGAGGTCAATCGCTTTAATGGAAGGTAAGTCTAATGTGAATCATCCAAACGGGACATTTTTGCAAATGTCAGAACGCTGTTGATTATACTGGGACAGCTGGGGAGAACCAGGATGGCCATGGGCAAACCAGAGGGTTCAGGTATCCAGAGACATGGTCTCCTAGAAGGAACACCTGGAATCCCAGTGCTTTGGGAGGCTGAGGCAGGAGGATTGCTTGAGACCAGGAGTTCGAGGCTGCAGTGAGCTATGATCCCGTCACTGCGCTCCAGCTTGGGTGGCAGAACAAGACCCTGTCTCTAAAAACAAGAAAAGGAAGAAGAAGAGGAGGAAGAGGAGGAAGAAGAGAAGGAGGAGGAGGAGGAAGGTCTTTCTAAGTGTGAGTACAGAAAAACAGGACAGAGAAGAGAATCAGGAACCAACTCCTGGGAGCGACAGAAGTGACTATATGTGGGTGACAGAGAAAGACAGCACTGAGAAAGTGACATGTGCCAAAGACGAAGAGGTGAAAGAACATTGCACGTGGGAGCAGAGCGTCAGAGGGAATGGCGAGTACCAAGCCCTGAGGTGCCGCCTCGTGTGAGTGGAGCAGCGGGAGCGACAGGGTGAGGACGGTGGTGGAAGCACTGCGGCTTTCCTTCGGCCCCTGGAGTCGGAGCAGGAAGACCCGTGGGTGGAACGGTCCGTTTGGCTGCTGCATGGACGACAACCCCAAGACCCAAGGTGGGGGATGCGGCAGCTGAGACCATCGCGGGTTCTCATCTGTCTCAGGCCCAGCCCTCCCTCCCTTGCGAAGCCGATGCTGGTACTGTCCCCATTTTGCAGGCAGGGAAGCTGAGGCCTCAGCTCAGGGGAGGCAGGGGTCTCTCTGGTGATGTGGGAGGTGGCGGAGGGCACGAGGGCACCCACCCAGAGGAGACAGGAGGCGGACAGGCTCCCGGTGGCACAGATCTGAGGCCCATCTCCCGCCCCAGCTGGGAACCCATCCTGGGCTACATCAACGAGCAGTATGAGCGGTACCTGCAGGAGGAGCTGCTCATCACCCGCCAGCGCCATATCCCCGACACGCGTGTGCACTGCTGTGTGTACTTTGTGCCTCCCACCGGGCACTGGTGAGGGGGCTGCTCGGCCCGGGAGGGCCACTTGCAGGGGGCAGGGAGGAGGAGGAGGCGTCCCCGGCGCGGGCTGCAGGCTGGCTCCCCCCTCACCAATTCGCTTGCCCCCCTTGCTGCCGTCCCCGTCTCCACCCGGGCAGCCTGCGGCCCCTGGACATTGAGCTGCTGCAGCGGCTGTGCCGGACCGTGAACGTGGTGCCTGTGATCGCCCGGGCTGACAGCCTGACCATTGAGGAGCGAGAGGTCTTCAGGAACAGGGTGATCTGGGTGCCCAGGGCAGGGATGGGGACAGGGTGGCAGTGTGGGCAGGGTGGGCTGGGCTCACGTGTGTGCAATCCCCAGATCCAGCAGAACCTGAAGACGCACTGCATTGAAGTGTACCCTCAGAAGTGCTTTGATGAAGACATCAACGACAGGATCCTCAACAGCAAGATCCGGGTGAGTAGTGTGGGGGCGGCTGGCTCACAGGACTGATGTGGGAGATTCTTTCCAGCTGAAGATTCAGCCTGCTCTACAACTGGGGGAAACATGCATATGAACTCAAGGTGAGCAAGAAATAGCTCACATGGACAGCCCACAGAATGTGATAAAATGTTGACAAATCCCATATTCAACAAGGAGCTTGTAGCCCGAATATATAAAGAATGCTTACAGTTCAACAAGAAAGGACAACCTATTTTAAAATAGGCAAAAGAGCCAGGTGTGGTGGCTCACTGCTGTAATTCCAGCACTTTGGGAGACAGAGATAAGAAGATTGCCTGAAGCTGGGCTTGGTGGCTCAGCCTGTAATCCCAGTGCTTTGGAAGGCTGAGGTGAGTGGATTGCCTGAGCCCACAGGTTCGAGACCCGTCTGGGCAACTTGGCGAGACCTCATCTCTACAATAAATCAAAAAATTAGCCGGGCATGGTAACGCACCTGTAGTTCCAGCTACCTGGAAGGCTGAGGCGGAAGGATCACCGGAGCCCAGCAGGTCAAGGCCGCAGTGGCCGGGAGCGGCCACTGCACTCCAGTCTGGGCGACAGAGTGAGACTCCAACTCAAAAAAAAAAAAGAAAAAAAAAGAGGATTGCCTGAGCCCAGGGGTTCAAGACCAGACTGGGCTTGTTGGCAAGACCTGGTCTCTACAATAAATAAAAAAATTAGCCAGGCATGGTAGCGCACACCTGTAGTTCCAGCTACTTGGAAGGCTAAGGCAGAAGGATCCCTTGAGTACAGCAGATCGAGGCTGTAGTGGCTGCACACTACTGCACTCTAGCCGGGGTAACAGAGTGAGACTCCAACCCAAAAAAAAAAAACAGGCAGCCGGGCTCGGTGGCTCAGCCTGTAATCCTGCGCCTTTGGGAGGCTGAGATGAGTGAATTGCCTGAGCCCGCGGATTCGAGACCCACCTGGGCAACTTGGCGAGACCTCA